GATGGCTATCCGAGTACAGAACCAGAGTACGAAACCTATCCAATTGCAGAGAGGTGTAAGACAGGGTGACGTCATATCCCCGAAACTCTTCACCGCTGCATTGGAAGACGTTTTCAAGCTTCTGGACTGGAAAGGATACGGTATCAACATCAATGGCGAGTACATCACTCACCTTCGATTTGCCGACGATATAGTCCTTATGGCAGAATCGCTGGAGGACCTAAGCACTATGCTCAATGACCTCAATAGTGTTTCCCAACGGATAGGTCTTAAGATGAACATGGACAAAACAAAGATCATGTTTAATGTCCATGTCACACCTATGCCGGTAGTTGTTGGGAACACTAAGCTCGAAGTTGTTGACGAGTATGTTTACCTGGGACAAATAGTCCGACTAGGTAAGTCCAACTTCGACCGAGAGGTCAATCGACGGATTCAACTCGGTTGGGCAGCGTTCGGGAAATTACGGCACATCTTCTCGTCAGGTATACCTCAAAACTTGAAAACGAGACTGTACACCCAGTGCGTGTTGCCAGTGATGACATACGGAACTGAGACGTGGTCCTTCACTGCTGGCCGGATGAGGAAGCTCAAGGTCGCTCAGCGAGCTATGGAGAGGGCTATGCTCGGAGTTTCTCTGCGTGATAAACTTAGGAATGAGGATATCCGCAGTAGAACCAGAGTGACCGACATAGCCCAACGGATTAGTAAGCTGAAGTGGCAATGGGCCGGCCATATAGCTCGAAGAACCGACAACCGATGGGGAAGAAAGGTTCTCGAGTGGCAGCCTCGTACCGGCAGGCGAAGTGTAGGGCGTCCCCCCACTAGATGGAGTGACGACCTGGTAAGATATGCAGGAAATCGATGGATGCAGGTGGCTCAGGACCGTGCTTTGTGGCATTCTTTGGGGGAGGCCTATGTTCAGCAGTGGACTTGTGAAGGGCTGTAATGATGATGATGATGAAAAAGGCCAGCCAAGTGTGAGTCGGACTTGCACATGCAGTGTTCCGTACCATTTTAAAACTCGTTTCTAGTACGGGAGCCCCTTTAATTTTAAATTTATTTTTATTATTTGTTGTTAAAGTGGCAACAGAAATACACAATTGAAAATTTCAACTGCTACCTATTACAGATCATGAGATACAGATGGACGGACAGTAGAGGCTTAATAACAGGGTCCCGTTGGTTACCCTTTGGGTACGGATTTAGCCATCCCTTACATAAACTTAGAGTATAAGGAGGTATAGGATATAGGTATAGTTACACAGAGCCAGTAAAATTGCAGGCTGTGTGGCAATCTTGGGCCTTAGGGTTAAAAAGGGCCTACCCTTAAAAAGGGGTACCTAAAGGTACCTTTTTTTGTAAATGATGAGTTCAAGTTTAAAAAAAATTCTGAAGTTACAAAAAATTGTTTTTATCAATTAAAAGTTATTTATCACATTAAGGATTTGTTAAGTACAAATATTAGGATCCAACTGGTTATTATTCTGGTGTTCATTACATGGATATAGTGCTTATTCCTTGTTTACTTATTCGAATAGAAAACATTAATCACAGGGTTCAAAACACATGTGTATTGCTTTAGTATATCACCCCATACACATGTCACACCTTTTTTAATAATGCTAATATTAAAAAAGTAAATGTAACCTTCACTTGGCTTCTTTATTACTTAAAATATTAAAATATTGTACACCATAATAAGATAGGGCATCTTGCAAATAAACTTACTTTAATAATGGTAGAGCCACGCGGCAGCTGTTGCTGTCGCACGGATGGGCCGGCTCGAACCTGGGTGGTACCACGACCTCACAGAAAACCAGCGTGAAGTAGAGGTTTACCTCTGCGTTTCGCTTGGTGAGTGCAGGTGGCCGGAGGCCCTTTTTACTGGAAATGAGGCATTCCATCTTAGTCCTCACGGGTGACAACGCATCTACATTTTGATTTGTAATAGAGGATAGATGTAGATGTCTATGGGCCGCAGCAACCACTTACCATCAGGTGGACTGTGTGCTCGTTTGTCACCCTTATCCTATAAAAAAAAAAATACTCCTGTGACATACAGGAATATCAAACAAGGTGGTCTAAGTACTCTTTAAAGCTGAGATCTATAGACTGTACTTTGTCTTTGCTCAGACTTTACCTATGAAAACCTTAGCTGACATAATCTTTGATTCTGAATTTACAGTTGTAATTGTAGTTGAATCGGGCTAAGATTAAGCTTATGTTAAAGGCCCAGTCAGTAAAAAAAAATAGATGCTTCATTCCACACATTATGTTTTTAATTTTACTGTATAAAATTTAATATTTAAAATTCGAATATTATTACATGAAATAGAAAACGAGTGTATGAGAACGGGAACGGATGAGAAGAGTGCAAAATCAGAAAAAAAGAGAAAAGATTTTAAGAAATTCGAAATACGTTTGAAATTATATTAATAAATGCTATATATTTATTAGTTAGCCTAAAACTACCTATTTATTATTATAAATAACTAGAGTAACAAATGACAATAATTTAAAATTTTATACGGTAGTTTTTGATAATATCCTAAGTTTTACTTGACTTGATTTCATTGACATAGGCTTTGCTAAACGAGCACTCAGCACAACTTCGAAGTTAGCTCTATAAACACCGACATTATCTTAGCTCGAAAGTAAAATCTGAGCAAAGTCAAAGTACGGTCTATAGATTTCAGTCTTATAATTCAATGCTGCAAATATTCAGTTATTTCAGGGTAACTTTAGATACGCAGCTTCAAAATGCTGGAACAATTTGGCACCCCATTGCATAGTCTGACAACATTATTAGTTTTTAGGCAAAAGATATGAAATTTATTAACAATTTACAAAAACATATGTAAATGAGATTTTTATTTGCATCTGCCACTGCCCCCACTTTAACACTAAATGTAACGTGATTATATAGTTTTATTTTATTCTAATATTTAGTAGTAGTTAGTCATCTTTACATAGTATAAAATGAAGTCGCTTCCACTGTCTGTTAGCTTAGATTTTTTAAACTACTAAACGAATTTTAATACAGTTTTCAGAAACAGAAAGAGTGATTCACGAGGAAGGCTTATATGTATAATATTATAGTACAGAAAAGCCGAAAAATACAAAGATTTGTAATGTTATGTCGTTACAAACATATTTTTGTGTGCTTAAATTGCAAGGGCTGGCTACACCTTACGAGATAGATCAAATTAATGTACTACTGAATTATGTATCTTATAAAGATAGATAAAAAAGTCTGCGATGGTGTGTATTCATCTCCTAAGGATAACACACAGTAACCATTTTTATCTTTTACATATTACAAACAAAATATGTTATTTACCAAGCTATTTTATACAATACAGTATTATTCCTTATCCAATTAAATACATTACATATGTTGCACATTTCATGTAGATCAAAACTGCCCTTAACAGCATTTCATGAAAATGGATACCTTAGAAGATATCAGAGATTAAAAAAGCGGAGGCACGTCCACGTCCCGGTTGGCAGCAGTCGGCGGGCAAACTGCCACCGTCCGAAATCATGATATTGACAACCGATGGATCATTCCCTATAATTCGCTTCTTTTAATAATTTTCGACGCCCACATCAATGTGGAGCTGTGCAGTTCAATAAAATCAATCTAATATGTTACTAAATATATAAATAAAGGTAGCGATCAGACCACTTTTAGCATATACTCCCCAAATGAAGTAGAAAAATTTCAATCTGGACGTTACATCTGCAGCTCTGAAGCAGTATGGAGTATTTTGTAATTCAGTCTGCATGACCAGGCTCCCACGATTATTCATCTTGCAGTTCATTTAGAAAATGGACCACGGAATGTACAATATTGTTCTCACCTGAGAACAAAATTGTACATCCACCCATTGGTGAGTTTTTGCATATTGATAACATACGTTGTAAGACTATATCTTGGTTCAAAGAAAGAGCGATCCTGTCACCTACAATCGAACAGCTAGATAAGTTGAATAACTTGATTCTTTAAAAGATTAATGCACCGACGAAAATATACTTCTCGTTTGACACTGTAGTAGACTTTGAAGAGGCTGTTCATTTTCCCACAGAATTTCTTCTGTGTCTGGACTCTCTCCACATAAACTGGTGTTGAAAATAGTATGTCCTGTTATTTTATTAAGAAACCTTAATCTGCCTAAATTATATAACGGTATGTGATTATTGATAAAGTCCCTTAAAACTTTCATATTATAGTGCACAATACTTACCGAATGTGGTACTGGAGAATATGTTTTAATTCTCTGTATTCCTCTTCTATATATCGGATTTACCGTTTCAATTAAAGTGCCTGCAATTTCCGGTAAAGCTATCTTTTGCAATGACCATTAATAAGTCACAGGGACAAACATTCAATGTTACAGGCTTAGATTTGAGCGTTGAGTGTTTCTTACACGGCCAGTTATATGTCGCGTTTTCGTAAACCTCTAAAAACATGTTTGCACTGTCTCATGAAAAATCAGCTGTAAATATTGTATACAAAGATATCATGTAGTATAGACTAATCATAATATTTTTAATCACTTCACACTGCTCCATATTAGTATCAGAGATATTAGTATAGTCCCAAAAAATTAAGTACTGCTGGATAATTATCATATCCATTCTCTCTCAGTAATAAAGTTTTGCTGTATCAGCTATCTGTCGTCGGTTTTGTTCTATAACTGGTATATATGTAAATATAAAAAAAAATTATACCACCATGTTTGGAAGCTACAACGCCATCTGGGTCTGGTTCTTTATTTAAGTTGCCTCATGTGACATCCACATTGGGTATTATTTCTCTCATATGCCGCTGCCACAAGCTGAATATTACTTACATTCTAAATGCGTACAACAAAATGTACATTTAGAATTTCAGTATCAGAATAATTAATTACATTAACTTTGTTAGGGAATTAAAGAAGAAAAATGTTTTGATTATTTACATTTTATTTTTTATATGGTTTAAACCAATATTTTTAGTGCATTGAGGCGTTTATTAAGATAGTAAAAGCTTCATCTACAGATGATGTAATATCCTTGCCGGGTAGATCATTGACACTCAGCCAAGTAGATCCATTGGTGCCTTCTTTGAACATCTTTATCACTGCGGCCACTGCTGATTCCTTCCTTTAAAGTATAAAGAAAAAAAATGTAATAAGTAATTGAAAAAGGGTACAATCTTCATGCTCTATAAAATAATAGCTTTTTCCCACTAACTATAAGAAAATTAAAAAGATTACTTTTTATGTATGTATGCATATAATAGAAATATTTCTATTATTATACTTGCCTCTCTACACAAAAGGGAAGTAAATAATTTAGAAAACTTTGTTAACTTTTAATCTTACGTTTGTGTGTCCTTTCTTTTGTGAAATTGTTTACATCTTATTGTTATGTTTTATAAGGTCATATTACACTCATATGTACTTACATTTAGTAAAATTGAAAAATATATGATAAAAAAATGTCTGTGTTAATATTCTTTCTTATTCAACAACTGGCACTAAGCTTATCATAGATAGATAAAGACAAATGTAGCCAAGAATTTTAAATACTACAATTAATAGTACTAATTATTAATATAAATTATAATTACTTTTGACAGCTTAATGTGTTAATTAAATTCTCCAGTTTCTCCCCTTTTTTGTTGTCACTACCCCTTTCAGTTAGCCCAACCATAAGGGCAGTGTCCGTAGGTCCAGGGCAAATTGTCATGCATCTTACACCAGTCTCCTCATAGAAGTTTCCACTCTGAAATATAAATACATGCTCATTTGAAAGACGAACCGTAATATCAACATGTTGTTAGATAGACTTGTACCTATAATATTAGATTCTTTGAGAAGTCTGAAAATTTGTTCTATAATTCATCATCATTCAGCTCTGGTACAAGGTTACAGTATTGTTGGAATATTGTTGGAAGGTGTCAATGAGAAGAGAGACGTGTTATAATAATAATAATTTATTTATTTTTCACCACAAACGACATGGACATTGGATACATTAGTGATACATCTCTATTTAACAATATTATGTCATTCGTGGGAGACTGGTGCCCGTGTAGGTTCAAAGACCCATATTACAGGTCACCAGGCCCCCCCTCGAATTTACTAGGCACTTAGTATAATATACAGAGATAACTTATGTTATGATTAGAAATTATATTATATAGAGCGAATTAACAGTTTGGCTATATAGAAATAAATAAAATAAAAACTATGTAATTATGTATGTATGTATGTGAGTGTGTGACTGTTAGTATATCCGTGTATATGTTTGTGTGTATTTATGATATTATTTGGAGTAATTGTTCAGTGTCTGTGTATGATAGAGTCTGAAGATATCCCACGAGTCTATTTTTACATGACCATTTGTTGACTTGATAAATAGACAATTTTTGGTGTAATTTATTATACATATACGGTCCCAAAAATGTGAAGAATTTCCTTGCAAAAGACGTGTTGCATGGCACTGATCGAGCTACAAGATGATTACGGCGATGTTCTTTTTGAGTTACTTTTGTAATTGTGTGTTGTCTTACGACTAGGGCATCGAGAACCGGTCCCTTTCCAGGAACCGGTTCTTTCGGTTCTAAAATTTTGCCGGAACCGGGTACCCGGTTCTTTCGGTTCTTTTCTTTCTTTTAGGTTGGAGGCTATTTCGTTCAATGTGAATAACAATAACAATATTCATAAAAAAAAACAGTTTATTGCAAATTGTGGGTTAAAGTAATTATTCAAGTAATAATTGCAATTGTTTCTTTCTAATTAAATATAATCAAACATCTCACTAAGTAGGAACATTCATTTTACAATTGCACGATGCACGTTAACAGTTATTTCACATTACTTACATAAAAATAGTTTGAAAGATTCTATTCTATTATAACATTACAATATTCCATCATAGAATATACTTTACGGACTGTTATTATAACAAAACATAAATCAGCTCAGTTATGAAAAAAATAGTTTTAATTAAACATTACTTCTTAATTTTACTTAAATAAAAAAAAACGTAGAAAAATTAATGCCTGCACATTTTTATCACTCAAAGACGAGCGCAGCCTATTGCAGACGAAGACAATATTCGCTCTGGCTCTACACTGGTGGGCGAAATAGTTTTTAAATGTTCATAACCTATCGATAAGTAGTACTCGTAGTCTTTGCCCATCATTTTCAAATAGAGCCATTTCAACTCAATTATAATTTCAATCAATTTAAGTCATTTTCTTGATCTGTCGATTCAGTGGCAGTATTAACAGCCTTAGACAGCTCTCTATTAAATTCCTCTTCATTTGTTAGGGGGATTCATGTAATTCAACTTCCTGCAGATTTTGACTTCCAATTGCTGTTTATTCAAGGGATACTTTTTGTCTAGCTTTCGTGCGATTTTGTTTATAAAATGAGGATGACAAGCGAGAATAGACATCTACATCTATCCTCGATGACGAATCAAAATGCCGATGCGTTGTCACACGTGAGGACTAAGATTGAATGCCTCGTTTCCTGTAACAAGGGGATCCGGTTTTCTACACTCACCATACGCAGCAGCGTATTCTGTGAGAGCGTGGTCCTACCCCTTTCGAGCCAACCCATTCGTGCTATACTATACCAGTAATATAGCAGCAGCATGGCCATACCACGTAAAAATTTTCAATTCCGTGTAACATTTCATCATTTGTAGACCGGAAAAGATAGTTGCATCGTCCATACTGGCAAAATGACTGTCAGGGTTGGTTAAGTATCGCAATATTGATGCTTGCATGTTTTTTATATTGTTTTCGCAATGCAGTGACCATTTTATTACTAAGATAAGTATTAATTTCAACGAATTTTCTTATAGCAAATTTTAAAGAAACATCGGCTGTAATCAATGTTGTATCGCGACGGAATAGAGCTTCTACGATAGTTTTAATAACATCCAATATCTTATTTAACTCTTCTATGTTTGTCCGGTCTACCTCAGTAAATACCTACAATATCAGATTTAAAATCAATTAATGCTTTTGAGATCGTTTTTAACTTCAGAAATCGGCTTAACTTCGCGACTATGCTGCTCCAGGGTGTATTTACATCTAAAACCAAACAATATTCTTGTCCAAAATCAGTTATGATGTGCTTTTGAAGAATTTCGTCACTTTTAGTGGGGGAAGCCTTGAAAATTTTTACCAAATTATTACAAATCCTGCTGTTTGCCATAAATAGCAGAAATGATTAATAAACACGTTTTTATAACACTACATTGCAATGATATACCTTTTAAGAAACTTTGTAAAGGAACCGAAAAAACCGAGTTTTAAATTTTTGGAACCGGTTCTTTTCGTGACCCCTGAAACCGGGAATTCCCGGTTCTTTTGGAACCGGGAAAAACCGGTTCCGATGCCCTACTTACGACTATATGGAGTATGAATAACTGTCGAACTGTAAGAACTTCGCTAATTTTATACAGATCTAAAGTTGGATATAGGTAAGGTTTAAAATGTGTACGTGTTGTTTTTTTTTTATATACTATAATAATGGTGATAAACGAGCACACAGTCCACCTGATGGTAAGTGGTTACTGTGGCCCATAGACATCTACATATACCCTGGATTACGAATCAAAATGCAGATGCGTTGTCACCCTGAAGGACTAAGATGGAATGCATCGTTTCCAGTTAAAAGGGTCTCCGGTTCTCTACACTCACCATACGAAACACAGCAGCGTCAAGCTGCTATTTTACGCTGGTATTCTGAGATAGCGTGGTCCTACCCCGGTCGAGGCGACCCATTACTGCTGCAACCACAATATTACCTATATTGTGGTTGCATTCTCTCTAGATCTTTAATTACACTACTCTTGTTCTACACTTAACTCTAATATAAGTGTATATATTATTGTCGTAGGAGCTACACGACACTACACTGCCACTCGATAATCTTCTTTCACTGATATGACATCAATTTACGTTTCTCTTTCCATTTTGCTATGTCGGTTACCAAGTTACCATGGTTTTACTTCGAACGTCTTGAGTAAGGATTTACAAAGAAATACTTCGGGCAGTGTTTTCCATAGCTCACGGAGCGAAGTAAAACTTCCTCATATGGACAGCAGTTAAAAACCGTGACTCTTTTCCATAGTTTAATCTCTGCACTCGTACATTGTTGGAGAATAATGGATGAGAACAAACCCAAACACTGCTCACTCGAGTTGGATTCGTCGATTGACCTTTTAGTCAAAGTTGGACTTACGTAGTCTTGCTTGTCCGGTCGTTTGTTTGTCGTGTGTTTCCAGCAACTGCCGGAATAATAAACACACAAACGCAAAGGAGGTTGCTGGCTTCTCATAGACAGTAATCTGCTGTGGATTCTGATGGTTTGTGTCAGGGATGATATCCTTAACAATGGGAAGGGTCGATATGACGGCTAATATAGGAGAATAGAAGAAGAAGACATACTATGAACAAGAAAAATCATGGATGGTGTTATATATTAGCTTTACTTACCGCGATGCATTGAGTGAAGTGCAGCACTGCCATTTTGGTACCGCAGTAAATTGGCAGAACGTCTGTTTTCATTAAGGCAGCCGTAGACGCGACGTTGATAATTGTACCACCTGCGCCGCCTTCGTCCTTCCTCATATGTTTTATTGCCCTTGACGTAAATGAGACGAGTCCTTGCTGCAAAAATGTACTCGTCACTTTACGCCTCGATGTTTTGGCCGTAGATGTTGAAAAGTAGAAGAAACCAGTTGGATTTAGTTCTTTCACAAATTCCACAGTCGAACTTGTCGTGACAATAGTGATCACCACAATCATCATCATTGTCATCATTATAGCTTTTCAAAAGTGCACATAGATTGCCTTATATAGGGGATATTTGCCATATTTGCTACGCTTGGCAGGTGGATTTGCGACCGCAGATTTTTATTTTCTTGGTGTTATGAGGAAAACGCTCTTGTCCATCTCCTGGTTAGTTTCCCTTTGTCGCCTCTTACACTCATAGACGGTCACCCACGAGACGATATGTGGCAGTGGATATTCTTACACCGCCACTACACTGTTTGCTTTGCGTATGGCCACAATTTTTTGTCTTATTTATTGGGTAATTTTTTTTTTATAGGATAAAGTGACAAACGAGCACACAGTCCACCTGATGGTAAGTAGTTGCTGTGGCCCATAGACATCTACATCTATCCTCGTTTGCGAATCAAAATGCAGATGCGTCGTCACCCGTGAGGACTAAGATGGAATGCCTCTTTTCCAGTAAAAAGGGTCTCCGGTTCTCTACACTCACCATACGAAACACAGCAGTGTTAAGTTGCTATTTTACGCTGGTATTCTGTGAGAGCGTGGTCCTTCCCCGGTCGAGCCGACCCATTCATACTACAATTATACTAATGACATAGCTGCAACATGGCTCTACCACATATATAATATATATAATACGTATATAATTGTAAATAACTTAAAAAAACTTTTATTTTGCGATTTAGTTATACATTAAATAATAAGTTATTTGTTATAAAATTATTCTTATGATATTTTTAAAACCTTTTAAAACGCCCGTGTGCCCCGTGGTTTTTTAAATGGAAAATTATATTAAAGTACATGTATTTCATCTCTACTCGCCATTAAATAATTCAATACTTTGTTAAACTAACAAATGAGGAAAACGGAAAACGTTTAACCGTTTTCTGATTACGTACCCAGTTGACGTCACACATTTTCCTCCACAATTGAGGAGAGTCGTTCATGATGCCCGCATTGTTTAACACGACATCCAACTTCCCGAACTTGGCGAGGACTTGGTCAAAAGCCATCGCAATGCTTTGTTCGTCGCTAACATCACATTTGATGAAGATGACTCTTCCGGGGTAGGTATTGTTTAGTTCTTTTACTAACGATTTGCCTTTGTCTTCCGCTATATCCAAAATGGCTATTTGCTGTAGCAAAGGATCTCATGTTAGTAATTTGAAAATCCAGTTTTATTTCATAAAATAAATATCTTTACCAGATCAAGGTCACATGATAAGTGTGATCTTTACACAAAATTGTAAATTTAAACATCTTACTTTGGCTCCTTCCTTCAGGAATTCTTCAGCGTAGCCCGCGCCCAAGCCTGTAGCCGCGCCGGTGATCAAAAATGTCTTCCCATTCACGTCCCACTTAGCCATTGTAATAAAACTAATTAACTAAATGACTTAATTTTTTCGAACGTGTCGCCTTTATACGGTGTCTATGTTTATCAGCGTTGTGATAAATGAAAATAATTTGCAGTTGATGAATGGATAAAAAAGATTAGTTATAAAAAGATAAATTACTTCGTATCGCTATTAACTCCACAAGACAATATTCCTTCCTATAGACATTACAGAACATTTAATATTATTAAAAAACGCATTGAAGGTTTTATTTGCAACATGAGAACACTATTTAATCTAAGAAGCAAATTATTTGCAAAAGTAACACCTATTTGGAAAGTTAAAAAATATATTATTCAAGTGAAAAAATTTCATTCTTCTTAAATTATAAACAGACTAACTGTAATTGGTTGGTTGTTGTTCTTGTTTGAAGAATAAATAATTCCAACAAAACTAATGCTTTGATGAAGATTAACATTTTTTTAAAATTCAAACTGAAAATATTAGTACTATTTGCGTTAAATCAGATTTCCTTAACTTTTGTCGTTATGTTAGGTATATCTAATTTATGATATCTTAGAAAATTCATGTCCTATACCAGCATGTGACAAACGAGCACCCAGTTCGCCCGACGGCAAGTGAATACTGCGACCTATAAACATCCACATTTATCCTCCATTAAGACTCCAAAATGCAGATGTGTTGCCACCCCTGTGGACCAAGATGGAATGCCTCGTCTCCAGTAAAAAGGGTCTCCGTTTCTCAACACTCACCACACGAAACAAAGCAGCATTAAGCTGCTGATCTTCCCCCGGTCGAGCCGACTCATTCGTGCTACAACCATAATATAGCTGCAGCTTGGCTCTACCACGTAATTGACATAATTTTGCAATTGTGAAAAATGGACACACTACTTACTAATTTTAACCCCAAAGTACTTCAGATTGGCTGTGCGGTTGGTGTTACTGGTAGGAATTGTTATTTGCTTTATTTAGACGTTTAGTTTTATGGTTTTGCGAAAATATATCAATTCAATTATAAGTCGATATCTTTATACCCGTCTGCCCCAGAATGAGGGTAATGTTTTTCGATAGTATGTATGTCTATTTCTTTGGTGCGCTCTGTAGCCTAGACGATTTGATGGATTTTAATATGTATAATAAGAGATGTCGTTAGATTCGTCTAATTTGTGGGAGTGATATAGGCTACAAGACTTCTCTTTTCAGTAAACATTCTTAAGCAGTCGTCGGAGTTTTTTTTTTAATTTTATTGATAGGGCTTGCTATTAATGCATTGTATTAGGTTGCAAAATATTATCATGATGACAAAACATAACATAGTTGCGTAGTTGTGATCCCCATTTATTTTTTATTTAAAAAATTGGGATTCCCACCGGCAAACGGTTTCTGGCGTACTGATGGCCTTAGGGCTATATTATGGGCAAAAATCAAAGAGACGGAAGTATGTATCTGTATCAAAGAGATTGATGTGCTAAATGCAAATCAGTTCTACGATGAAATTAAATTAAACACGACTCTCAACATTTTTTTAAAATCTAATCTCTACCAACGATATAAGTAATTATGTCGCAAGTAGGTGTACGTATAATACGAACTAGATATTAGGCAAAATTTATAAGAATATAAATTTTTGGTCAAGATCCATAGTTGTTTTTTAGCCCGACTCGGGATCGAACGGGGTACAAGTTTATCAGCAGTCGTGCTAACGACCACCAGACTAACGGGGCACTCGACGTTATTTTTTTTACTATTGCTACCAATTGCTACACACATACTGCTCCAGACCTTTTGTACTGTTATGTAGTATGTATATACGCTTCTTAACTTACACTCAACAGTACAGTACTAGTACTAGACTGCAATATTATGTTCTCACTGGTGTACCCCAGGGCAGTTGTGTATCGCTACTCCTATACGCGATATACACAAACGACATCCCCACACGGGAAGGTCACCTCCAAGAGTGGGAAGAAGATATTCAACCGGCCCTATACGCCGATGATAGCGCGTATTTCACCTTCTTTCGTCGAGTAAACATAGCTGCAACGAAAATGCAAAGATTGCTGGACTTGCTGCCGCCATGGCTAGACCAGTGGAGGATGGGTGTTAACGCTGGGAAGACGGCCGCTCTACTGACTAGCCGCCAAAGAACAAACTACCACCACTCCAACTCCAAGGTCAGGATGTAAAGTGGAAAACCACAATAACACACCTCGGATGTCACATCGACTGCTCACTGCGCGCTTCTAGCCAGGTAGAACATGCAATCCGCCAGGCGAGAGTGGCGCGGGCGCTCCTTAGACCAACGCTGACATCCAAACTGCTAATAAGAACAAAACTGGCGATTTATAAAACCTACATCTGATCAAGGCAGAAAGTGACTGCAAGTCCAGCAAAATCGAGCACTCAGGACCGTCGTGGGAGCCGGCAGATATGTCCGGAACGCATTGATAGCGTGGAACCTGAAAATAGAAGATCTACAAGAGTTCGTGACCCGATTGTCGCGCGGACTATTCAAGCGTCTCCCACACACTAGCGGCTTACGGTGGCGGTTAACCGCGAGCCGCGGCTGCAGCTGCTGCAACAACACACCACCGCGGTCGCAGTGGCGGCCTGAAGCTCCATTCGCTGTGGTGTTCTGTGTTACGATCGGACTTCAGTCAACATGGCTAACTGTGATGATGTCTTTTTATTCTTATTATATTCAACAATATTATCCCATATTTTGTTTTTCATCCTAATGTTTTTGTAATCAACTGTTTCTTTTAAAATCTTTGTAGTTAGCGCCATTTTGCACGCGGTACCCGCGGCCTGTTGTAAAAATTTGCAACTGACGGCGCTGCGGCCACCGGCCACTGATAGAGCCCGCATGTTCGCTAACAGGCGGAGGGGGCGGGCATGCGGCCGCGTCAAGCCGCCGGCAGGCCGTGGCATGGCCGCACGGGTTTGCAGACTCACTTACATTGCAAGCGAATACAACTGGCCGCCACCGCGACCGCCACCGCAAGCCGCTTCTGTATGGGAAACGCATTAAGCGTCTCCCTAAATCTATATCTATATCTATCTAAAAATTCCTGTACTGCTGCGACTACTGCTTTATCATTTTAAATCTGTCCTATATGATACACCTTCGATCATATATGGAGCTTCAATAGGTACAAATTATAGGTGCAGGGTCTGGTGAATATGGGATGCTCAGGTATATCGAAGCCAGTGAATAGCAGCCTACGTAATGGCGGACTTGTGAGCTAGGTTTTTATCCTGCAATCTTTGCGGGTTTTTTTAATTTGTTTTGCATACAAAGTACCCGTAACAGTAGCTTCACGATCGAGATACTCAATCTTTAATTACTCTTATCTTTGACTATACCAGAAAGGCGGCGGTAAAGGCCCGGAGTGAATTTAGTATGAAACGCATCGCGCCACGTACCGGAAAGGGCAGAACAAGGTTTGCCGGCCCAGCTTGTATAGTTTTTTTAATAGAATTAGGGTGACAAACGAGCGCAAGTCCATCTGATGGTAAGTGGATGCTGTCGGCTGTGGCCCATAGAAATCTACATTTATCCTTGATTCAGAATCAAAATATAAATCGTGGTCACCCCAGAGGACTAAGATGGATGTTTTCAGTAAAAAAAAGTCTCCAGTTCTGTACATTTACCATACGAAACACAACAGCATTAGCTGCTATTTTATGCTGGTATTCTGTGAGAGCGTGGTCTTTCCTCGGTCGAGCCGACCCATTCATGCTTCATGCTACAACCATATTATAGCTACAGCTAGTCTAATATATTATTCATCGTTTCCAATAAATCGTGACTAGTTTAAATGTCAAGTAAGTGTTTGTGATTGTGAGTATTGCAGCATTATAGATTTGACGCTGAATCAAGGTTGAATGTGAACGCACATCATCTACAGTTGCCGGTCAGCACCTTATGAGACGCACAACAAGAGGGTGTTAGTGCTATAGGCGACTCTTGGATCCTAGACTTTTCTCTTAAACGGTCATCTATGGACTATTAGATATCTCTACTAGTCCATAGACTGTCACCTATAAACTGCACAGGAGCATGTGATCATTTACGATATTATTCGGAATACCTCGTCGTGTTCGACTTCAGTTAATATAATGAAATAATCGAGCATTATTATCAAGGTTGTTGTATAGTAAAATTATCATTGTAGGTATTGTTGCTTGTAATACATGACATAGCAGCAGCGGATTTAGGCTTAAGGCCACTAGGTAGGCAAAATTTAAATAAATAAAAAACATTTAAAAACCAATGACTTATCCGTTTCTTATTTTATAGATCACAAATATTTCAGACCTACAATTATTTTTTTAAATACTTTTTTATAGGCGCCATTAAATATTAACCTCCATAGGTATACTTATCTAATTATTTTATACAAATGATTTGACTATTGGTACTTTTATCACCTAATACAACTCTATGCTGAGAGAGTTCCCACAGCTCGTTTTGAGATAAATGTTTTGCATCGAAATGCTAGACCCAAACAGTGCAATTGAACAAAACGACCGTTCCACTTTACTTGTGCGTGCGAGCGGTGAAAACATGTCGAATAAAGATATTATTATTAAACTAATTAAAAGCGCAATAACGAGATAGCTGTGCCGCTATTGTAATAGTCGAGTTCATTCGTAAATCTCGCGTGCTATACGATAGTTTGTCGCGTATGATCTGGCGTTATTAAGTTTATCAATTATTGGACTTGCTGTAGTGATTTTCGTACGGTATTCGAAGAATTTTAGTATACGTTTGAATTAGAGATGTAACGATCCATAACTATGCCGATGCGATACCGATATCGATACCGATACCGATACCGATTATTGTTGTAGCATGTAATTTTTTTTTATAGAGTAAGTGGTAAGCCGGTAAGTGAATACTGTGGCCCAAAGAAATCTACATTTATCCTCGATTAAGAATCATAATGCAGTTGCGTTATCACCCCTAAAGACTGAGATGGAAGGTCTTGTTTCTAGTAAAATGTT